CTCACTGATCAATGGGAATTCTTTAAGTCTTCTTTCTTTCAGAACTGTGTCCCAGAACAAAGAAGACATTGTCATTGGTCAGCATAGTCATGTGGCCACTACTGAGTAAAGCATACCTGCCATGTCCCTTCCAATGTGTGCCTCAATGTAGTGATGTTTTAATGTGCTGGAACGGGTAGAATATACAGTCAGGTCCATAAATATTGGGACATGGACACAATTCTATCATTTTTGGCTCTATACACCACCACAATGGATTTGAAATGAAACGAACAAGATGTGCTTTAACTGCAGACTGTCAGATTTAATTTGAGGGTATTTACATCCAAATCAGGTGAACGGTGTAGGACTTACAACAGTTTGCATATGTGCCTCCTACTGACCCCTCCATAGCCAGGCAAGTTGGTTTTATTAAAAAGAGTCCACTAATGGCTCTAATGATGGGAGTTAGGATAAAAAATCTAGGCTGCCACTGATGATCTTCCTTCTGAAAAAGCTAGTTGCTTGGCTGTCATAACCATTCTGTGGATTAAATACTGAACATTTGACTAATAAACTTAGAACAAGTATAGATAGAAGGATGTTTGCCTCTTTTCTTAGACAACTGTTTGCTGCAAGCCTATTCATAGTCAACTGAAACAAATATCCACAGAAGGAGGGCCAGACCAAATACAGCCAGGTCCATAAATATTGGGACATCGTCACAATTCTAACATTTTTGGCTCTATACGCCACCACAATGGATTTTAAATAAAACGAACAAGATGTGCTTTAACTGCAGACTTTCAGCTTCAATTTGAGGGTATTTACATCCAAATCAGGTGAACGGTGTAGGAATTACAACAGTTTGCATATGTGCCTCCCACTTGTTAAGGGACCAAAAGTAATGGGACAATTGGCTTCTCAACTGTTCCATGGCCAGGTGTGTGTTATTCCCTCATTATCCCAATTACAATGAGCAGATAAAAGGTCCAGAGTTCATTTCAAGTATGCTATTTGCATTTGAATCTGTTGCTGTCAACTCTCAAGATGAGATCCAAAGAGCTGTCACTATCAGTGAAGCAAGCCATCATTAGGCTGAAAAAACAAAACAAACCCATCAGAGAGATAGCAAAAACATAAGGCGTGGCCAAAACAACTGTTTGGAACATTCTTAAAAAGAAGGAAGGCACCGGTGAGCTCAGCAACACCAAAAGACCAGGAAGACCACGGAAAACAACTGTGGTGGATGACCAAAGAATTCTTTCCCTGGTGAAGAAAACACCCTTCACAACAGTTGGCCAGATCAAGAACACTCTCCAGGAGGTAGGTGTATGTGTGTCAAAGTCAACAATCAAGAGAAGACTTCACCAGAGTGAATACAGAGGGTTCACCACAAGATGGAAACCATTGGTGAGCCTCAAAAACAGGAAGGCCAAATTAGAGTTTGCCAAACGACATCTAAAAAAGCCTTCACAGTTCTAGAACAACATCTTATGGACAGATGAGACCGAGATCAACTTGTACCAGAGTGATGGGAAGAGAAGAGTATGGAGAAGGAAAGGAACTGCTCATGATCCTAAGCATACCACCTCATCAGTGAAGCATGGTGGTGGTAGTGTCATGGCGTGGGCATGTATGGCTGCCAATGGAACTGGTTCTCTTGTATTTATTGATGTTGTGACTGCTGACAAAAGCAGCCGGATGAACTCTGAAGTGTTTCAGGCAATATTATCTGCTCATATTCAGCCAAATGCTTCACAACTCATTGGACGCCGCTTCACAGTGCAGATGGACAATGACCCAAAGCATACTGCAAAAGCAACCAAAGAGTTTTTTAAGGGAAAGAAGTGGAATGTTATGCAATGGCCAAGTCAATCACCTGACCTGAATCCGATTGAGCATGCATTTCACTTGCTGAAGACAAAACTGAAGGGAAAATGCCCCAAGAACAAGCAGGAACTGAAGACAGTTGCAGTAGAGGCCTGGCAGAGCATCACCAGGGATGAAACCCAGCATCTGGTGATGTCTATGCGTTCCAGACTTCAGGCTGTAATTGACTGCAAAGGATTTGCAACCAAGTATTAAAAAGTGAAAGTTTGATTTATGATTATTATTCTGTCCCATTATTTTTGGTCCCTTAACAAGTAGGAGGCACATATGCAAACTGTTGTAATTCCTACACCGTTCACCTGATTTGGATATAAATGCCCTAAAATTAAAGCTGACAGTCTGCAGTTAAAGCTCATATTGTTCGTTTCATTTCAAATCCATTGTGGTGGTGTATAGAGCCAAAAATGTTAGAATTGTGTCCATGTCCCAATATTTATGGACCTGACTGTAGGTACAGCCAGGGACGGACTGACCATTTGGAAACTCAGGCACTGCCCGAGGGCCCGGGGTCAGTAGAGGGCCCCATGAGATGCCCCTGGTACCTTTTTTCATAGGCTTTTTTGAGTTTGGGCAAGGACACAGGGGTCCCATGATCCCCTATTGCCCGGGGGCCCCATGAGTTGTCAGTCTGCCCCTGAGTACAGCAGAACTGGAGGGGTGGGGAGGGTGCTGTCAAATAGTTCACTTTATCATTTTTTGTGTGAAAAAGTGAACCCTTTAAAGTGAAGCTGACTAGGCCTGGTGTCTTTATGGAGCCCTTTTGATTTTTAGCTCCACTTGTACATAGAACTTCAATTTTTGCTTAAATGTATCTCTAGGCTATTTCTTTCTTTTAGTCGTGTATAGAGTGTTGAAGCGTTAGACCCTGTGCCAAGTATTTTACTGCTGCCTGTGCACCCATTGGGACAATTTCCCCCGCTATTTATACAAGTGACCACTTTGGCACAATTCTCCTAGCTTCTCATTGCTTCTCTCAGATAGGAAGTGAAGGGATATTTCCCCAATGGTATACAAACATCAAAAATAACCTGGCAGAGTTGTAACCCTTCCATACTCTATCCAACACTAACAAAAGGTTTGGCCCCCACTACACCACTCCACATTGCTTTCTCTAACTGTCCTATTCTTTTGGATTTATCTTTATTCTTCTTCTTGTATACACTCTCCTCAGTCACTTAGCCCCAACAGAATATAGCATTTATTCTCTTACAGGCGCAACTACTTCTACGTAACTCACACATTCTTGATCCGGATGCACAAAACAGAACATACACGCCTTTCAAGGCTACCCTTACCCAACACTTTACACTCTCTCAACATAAGAGCTCACTATTACATGGGTCAGTATCCATTATTATATATATTACTTTATCTAATATACTGTTTATATCTGCAGATATGTAATATGCACTTGTCCTAATGTATTGTCCTACTATGATTGCACTGTAATCTACATCTTGGACCCGTCTGCGCAACGAGAGTCTATTTACTGTGTCTATGCTTGGACTGCGATCCGTAGTTGTATATGCCTTGATATGCCTTTTTTCTTCTAATAAAATATTTTTTGGAAGGTAACAAAAGGTTTGGCTTTATATACACTTTAAGATTAGAACAAGGGGCTTTCCAACTGTCACTTTTCTAAGACAGCTTGGGCAGCCACAGAAGATGGAGGAATTCTGGATCTAATGGCAGGATCAGCAAGGTAATAATACACCATACATAATATTTTACCCACATTTCACTATTCTATAATATTTTGCCCAAATTTCCACTATAACAGTAATTATTGCTGTCTTTTTGGGACAGGGAAAGGGGGTTATTTACACATATAATGCCTAAATAACCTAAATATTACAATCTGGTCTGTAGCCAAAAGATTAGTGTACAAGGGTTGGAAATATTACATATTATGGTATGATTGACCTATCTTCTGGGCCGACCTCCTGGAAGTTGCATCGTGAATGCCTTCTGGCATCCTGATGGTATTATAGATACCTGTTGGCTGAAAGATAGGTGTTTTAGATATACAGATCTATCTATAAGTGAATAATATTCACAAATACAAATGATAAGCTGTAAATCGCAGAAATCGCAGGAAACAAGCTGTGCAGATGGTTGTCAGTGTCTCTCCTCCTCACAAGTGCTGCCACTAGCTGTAGTGCAGTGTAACCCAGCACTGAGCCGGTCGCATCGTAAGAAATCGCAGCATTAGCCACCGCAATACCATCATCTGTCATCATCCGTTTGCCTAACAATTACCCGATCACGCAACACTGTACCTAAATTAATTTTATACCATTTTTTAGATAAATAGAGCTTTCTTTTGGTGATATTTAATAACCACCGGGTTCTCTATTTTTCTATATGAAGTAAAAGAAACAAAAATTGTGAAAAAATAAATAGGGGTTAAATTGCGCTGACCACTGATGATGGTTTAAAATGCAATTTACCAGCAATGATTGTGGGTTTATTTATGTATGCATTTATTTATTATTTTTTGCAGGAGGGGGTTAAGTGCCACTATTAACTGTGGGATTTTTTTGGGGGGTGAGGGGAGGGGGAGTGTTTTTGCTTTATTTATGATTTCCAGCCATAGCACACAATGTAATTTGATCCTCCAGGGAACTTTCTTCCACTAATAAGGAAACTTGCACTTGGCTTCAATGGGCGACTTTTAAAGACTAAACTCGCCTTAGATATCTCAATAATAACAAATTTCTTCATTTCCAAAAATTGTGGCATAATATAAGATCAACATGGGGTGTTCACTTTCACAAAAAAATGTCATTTTGGGAGAGTTTATAATGTGGCATTTTTATTTGATATGTTTTGTAACAGAAAGTAAGGGAATCAGCTCTCCTACCTGCAGTGCTGGAAGTTAGATGCTGACAACTAATGGACAGATTATAAACAAAACAAATATTTTTTTTGCTTAATTTAAAACTCCGTGTCCATCTCAGAATCTCCTATACACAGAGTGACAGGGGACAGTGCTGCTGTAGAATTTCACTGCAGAATGAACATTTATCTAGGGGTGTCTTATGATAATATAATTTCCTATTCTCTCATCAATCCCACTGATGCGGGGCTCCTCTCTGCTTTTATCATCAGTCTCCATTCTGGGCTACATGATCATGTCCTATGTAAAGTCCAGTGCTGTGAGCAGGAAGGATTGTGTAGTAGTATGTGAAGCTGCTCCAGCATTTCACCAATGATTGTGGGATTGTGTCCACAGGGGGGGACTGACCATTTGGAAACTCGGGCACTGCCCGAGGGCCCAGGGTCAGTAGGGGGCCCCATGAGATGCCCCTGGTACCTTTTTCATAGGCTTTTTTGAGTTTGGGCAAGGACACAGAGGCTGCATGATCCCCTATTGCCCGGGGGCCCCATGAGTTGTCAGTCCGCCCCTGTGTGTCCAGGTAGCAGAAGCTAGTGACCCTCCTGAGAGCTGACATGCAGTGTTCAGCTACCAAGATACTGTTTCTGTTGTAGTCTCTTCTAGGACTAGAAAATCTGGGGTAACTAGGGGAACAGTAGACACATTGGATCCCCCTGGGTGGGACTGAGAGTTGAATCATTGGCACGAGTGATCACTAGATCGGTTTGCCCAGATTATACCAATCCTTGACTAATGGCCAGACAAAGTTGTGCAATTAAATGAACTGGTAAAGGGCCCTTTGATTCCATTACTGGTTGATTTGTGTATTGGGAGGTATCTTCTGCCTACACTTGCTGACCTCCAGTGAGGGACTTGCACTGAGACTGGAGCACAATATACAGAGGTATGCTGGTTGGGGTTCCAAGGGACTTAATTACAAATTCACTGCAATGCCCACACATTCCATTCCCACAGAGCTAGACTTTTATATGATTTTGTGGTAATTGCCATGATGACTTTTTTTTTAAAAAAAATGTCCTAATTCACAACTTTTAATTTTTTTTTTATAGTAAATAAAAATCAAAGCAGTCACTAATTTAATATTACATTAATAAATATGCTCTGAAAATGGAAGCTGTGTAACTATCTAATTTGGCCTAGTATTAGCCTAGTATTAGTGTGAGAGGAAGAAGCAGCACAAGGAGTCAATCAGTTCAGGTGCTGGCCAGGAGCACGCTGATAGGAGGAGAAAGCAGAGTGACAGAGAGGAGAGCTCATCACTGTGCTGGCTGGGCTTAAAGGAAATGTGCTGTATGATGCTGGCTGTCCTTCTAACCAGAAGATTGAGGACAGAAAAGAAATGTTACATGGGGACAGTTCCAACAAAGTCAGCAATGGAACATAAATGAAAAAAGAGAGAAGAGATTTTGTCCAACAGTAAATGCAATACAGAAGTAGTTTCAGTGTAATGGAGTTTTATATTCTTAATGGTATTAGAGGGTGGACTTGGAAATGTTTTCTTGGAAGCTCTTCCATTTTCTTTCACTTACAGAACATTGGTCCTGACAGAAATATGGGGCTGCATGAAAGTGCTAGGTGTCTGGCTGTGTCTTTAATACTTCTGAAATAGACACATCCGCGAGCCCCTGGGACTTGGACACTTGTTTGTGCAGAGCAGTGAAAGGAAAAGAATCATTCAGAGAGTTCATTGGCTCTGGTTAGGCAGCTCGTATAGAGCAGGGCTACCCTCCAGTGGGTACCCAGAAGGTCAATTAAAATAAAGAATCCCAGAAGGAGCTCCACACCAAATAGTCCAAATGGCTTCAACAGTTCACACCTAAAACATCAAACACATTTCGGGGATCAAAAGACCCCTCCTTCAGATCTTAGGATCTAGTCAAAACTTGAATGGACTTAAGTGCAAGTTTGTGTATCCTCTATTCATCTGTATGGGTAAGAAATAACTGGATCAGTCAGTCACCAATAGTGCCATCATTACAGGCAATAATATCCTTTACTACAGTCGGGTCCATAAATATTGGGACATCGACACAATTCTAACATTTTTGGCTCTATACACCACCACAATGGATTTGAAATGAAACGAACAAGATGTGCTTTAACTGCAGACTGTCAGCTTTAATTTGTATTTACATCCAAATCAGGTGAACGGTGTAGGAATTACAACAGTTTGCATATGTGCCTCACACTTGTTAAGGGACCAAAAGTAATGGGACAGAATAATAATCATAAATCAAACTTTCACTTTTTAATACTTGGTTGCAAATCCTTTGCAGTCAATTACAGCCTGAAGTCTGGAACGCATAGACATCACCAGACGCTGGGTTTCATCCCTGGTGATGCTCTGCCAGGCCTCTACTGCAACTGTCTTCAGTTCCTGCTTGTTCTTGGGGCATTTTCCCTTCAGTTTTGTCTTCAGCAAGTGAAATGCATGCTCAATCGGATTCAGGTCAGGTGATTGACTTGGCCATTGCATAACATTCCACTTCTTTCCCTTAAAAAACTCTTTGGTTGCTTTTGCAGTATGCTTTGGGTCATTGTCCATCTGCACTGTGAAGCGTCCAATGAGTTGTGAAGCATTTGGCTGAATATGAGCAGATAATATTGCCCGAAACACTTCAGAATTCATCCTGCTGCTTTTGTCAGCAGTCACATCATCAATAAATACAAGAGAACCAGTTCCATTGGCAGCCATACATGCCCACGCCAAGACATTACCACCACCATGCTTCACTGATGAGGTGGTATGCTTAGGATCATGAGCAGTTCCTTTCCTTCTCCATACTCTTCTCTTCCCATCACTCTGGTACAAGTTGATCTTGGTCTCATCTGTCCATAGGATGTTGTTCCAGAACTGTGAAGGCTTTTTTAGATGTCGTTTGGCAAACTCTAATTTGGCCTTCCTGTTTTTGAGGCTCACCAATGGTTTCCATCTTGTGGTGAACCCTCTGTATTCACTCTGGTGAAGTCTTCTCTTGATTGTTGACTTTGACACACATACACCTACCTACTGGAGAGTGTTCTTGATCTGGCCAACTGTTGTGAAGGTTGTTTTCTACACCAGAATTCTTCGGTCATGCACCACAGTTGTTTTCCGTGGTCTTCCGGGTCTTTTGGTGTTGCTGAGCTCACCGGTGCGTTGCTTCTTTTTAAGAATGTTTCAAACAGTTGTTTTGGCCACGCCTTATGTTTTTGCTATCTCTCTGATGGGTTTGTTTTGTTTTTTCAGCCTAATGATGGCTTGCTTCACTGATAGTGACAGCTCTTTGAATCTCATCTTGAGAGTTGACAGCAACAGATTCCAAATGCAAATAGCACACTTGAAATTAACTCTGGACCTTTTATCTGCTCATTGTAATTGGGATAATGAGGGAATAACACACACCTGGCCATGGAACAGCTGAGAAGCCAATTTTCCCATTACTTTTGGTCCCTTAACAAGTGGGAGGCACATATGCAAACTGTTGTTATTCCTACATCGTTTACCTGATTTGGATGTAAATACCCTCAAATTAAAGCTGACAGTCTGCAGTTAAAGCACATCTTGTTCGTTTCATTTCAAACCTATTGTGGTGGTGTATAGAGTCAAAAATGTTAGAATTGTGTCGATGTCCCAATATTTATGGACCTGACTGTATTTGGTCTGGCCCTCCTTCTGTGGATATTTGTTTCAGTTGACTATGAATAGGCTTGCAGCAAACAGTTGTCTAAGAAAAGAGGCAAAAATCCTTCTATCTATACTTGTTCTAAGTTTATTAGTCAAATGTTCAGTATTTAATCCACAGAATGGTTATGACAGCCAAGCAACTAGCTTTTTCAGAAGGAAAGATCATCAGTGGCAGCCTAGATTTTTTATCCTAACTCCCATCATTAGAGCCATTAGTGGACTCTTTTTAATAAAACCAACTTGCCTTGCTATGGAGGGGTTAGAGTATTGAAGCTAACAAAAATCAGAATGTCAGTCTAACATGTTTAGAAGTCCTAGAAAAACAGCAGCAGTCTAGTGTATTGTCTTACATAGCTTATCAAGCAATGATATCTGCAATGGCAAGTGGTTGCTTTTTACTTTCATAGTTTTTGGTATTTTAATAACGAATAAAAAATATATATGTGTGTGTATTTTTATATATATATATATATATATATATATATATATATATATTGCCTAGGAGTCAGGAGCACACATCATGCATTGTGGTGTGCTACAGTGTGTCCATTGGGGTGCCTCCTCAAATTAATGGCACCACAAAACATTAATGTGCATACATTGCCCTACCATACATTGCAGCGATGCACATGTTTTACCATGTTGGTGGCAACGAGCCTTTGGAGCAGATGTTTTACATTCCTTGCAATCAAAAATGACAGGTATATTCAGATCCTGGTCTCAACCCACCTAAGCTATTTCCACAGAAAGCTGTCAGTGCACAAAACCAATCATACATGGCTGAGCCATTCCACACCCCATAGCCATGCAAATACAAGATACGTGTATACATGCAGCTTTCTGGATGTATAGCTCAGTTGGGTTTGGGCCAGATCTGAACATACTTGGGCTCATCTCTATTTACAGGTATAGGCCTCCATTGCATTGACTGATATGAATACCCAATTAGCCAGATTGACAAATTACTCACTATCCTGTTTAGGTACCAGTACGACTTCATAAGAACAATAGCTTTTTTTAAATTTTATTTTATATATGGATAACTTGGAATAAATCAGCTGAAAAAAGATTATAGGAATTTTATCGTTTTTTTTTTATTAAATAATGGAAAATTACAAATACACAAACGTATCTCAAAGAATGAGATTTTTGCTTCTGTTTTTGTGCAATCAGAACAGGTCCAGTTACTGAAAATGTTACTTGACACATCAAATAGATTTTTACACTTTGATTTCAGGTTTAAAAATGCAGAGAATTCAATTTTTTTGATAATAATTAGAGATCCAGTCCCACACCCCAATCATTTGGTTCCATACCACCAAGGATTTACCCCCGATTAGTAACCTCAGGGGGTATAGCGTCTACCTTCAAGGACAGTCTTGTGGTTTGCTATGTTCTTTTGGATGCTTAGAAGTTTCTAAGAAGATTAACAACCTGAAAAGATATTACTTCTGAGCATGTCTTGACTGCTAACCTTAAGGAGTACCTTTTTATCATGCCTGAAATCCAGTGTCCTATTAACTTCCTGTGCACCTAAAATGCCTATCAATTCTTGAGGAATGTATTGGTTTCTTTCAGGTTAAACCCTGTGTACCTGTATCAGGTACTGAAAGGGGAAATCTGGGGGGGTAACCCCTGGAAGGGGGGAGACTGATCTGAGGCCTAGAGCGGTACCTTGTGGATCTGGTGCTGATCCGTTGTGTGAGGGGGTAATTTTAGCAGGGGGATGATCAGAGGTCTAGAGTTCATTTTTCAACAGGGGAGATGACCCCTGCAGTCTATACGGTACTGATATCCGTGCTCCTGACTGCTAAGTCACCCCTCAGTGCTCTTCTGTAAGGTTGACT